CAAATAACCTACGTTATACTAACAAAGCATGCATCCACCGCTGTGGAAACTGTAATTTTGTAGATTTGCATGCCTCAGTCTCACTCACGAAGCCGCAGTAGCTTTCCTAGTTTGCCATTGATGCTGCATTCTCTCCTTGACTTTAGGCTCTACCGCATAACATGCTTCTGCGATCACCGTAAAATTTCATCTGCATGTTTGTGTGTTATTAGTGAGTATTGCTGGTTTTTGTTTTTTGTTTACGCGCTAACACTCGCCCAACAGCAACGTGTTTATTCTGCTGTAGGGAGATAGAGAACTGCCCCAATGAGGAGAAACAGGAAATGGTAGAAATATATAGAGATCGTTACGGCTTCACAGAAGAAGATGCAGACTGTCTCGTCAACATAACCTTCAAATATCGCGAGTTCTTTGTACAGCATATGATGGTTGAGGAGCTGGGTCTCATGGCTACGGAGGGCCCTAGCCCCATAAGAAGAGGTAATGCAACGAAAATCAGACAACACAGCGTAGTGTAGCCGTTTTTTTGAAACGGCTACACTACACTTTCTTGTCTGAGTTTACTAAGAAGGCAAACGCTTGACGTTTGCTTTCCTAGTATCTATTGCTGCTCTGCAAATGTAATTCATGTTTTTTAGGAGAAAGGAGAGCTTGTAGCATCTTCCCACTACACTAAAATGAGTTTTGGTGTGTTAGTACTTTTCGCAGCTTGCTGGGTGCCTGGCTGACGGTGGTATCCTATTTGTTAGATATAAGGATGATATTAGCTTGGCGGTGTTGAAAGTGGCTTTTGGGAGTGGTGATGTGTTCTGGCTTTTTGCTGCTGAATAACATGATTTAAACTTGACGAAATAAACCCAATTTGAACTTAGCACGTGTGCGGCATACGACGTGCGCGGTGAAAGCATGGTTCTTGTGTTTGTTATTTTTCTGCTTTGCAGGGGTAGTGATGTTCGCATCCTTCTCTATTTTCGGGTTGCTGCCTCTGGCTGGATTTGTTGCCTGGCTGACGTTGTCAGGCATCGGCACAGACGGCCACTTGGCGTTCGCCATGGCCT